GATCCTATTGAAATTCCTGGTTTAAATCTTGCTTTTGCAGTCACTAGAGCTGTGGCAAAGAAAGCTCTTGAGAATGATATTGATCAGGGCATTTTTTTCTTAGCCTACATTTATGGGTCAATATTTTAATTGGGTCACCTTTGCCCCTAGTATGCAACAATTAAGAGATATTGTGCACAGTTATAGTCATTGCACTATTCAATCTTTTGATTCCAATCAGGGTGATAAAAAACAATTACTAGGTGTCTCACAGGAACAAGATCCTGTTATATCTACTTGTTTTTTTTTTTAGAAAGCTTGTAATAAAAACAGATAAAATGCAGGAAAAAATTTATTTTGTGAAAATCGGGTTCATATAAGGAAATAAAGACCATATGAGGTACCATCTGGTGATGAATGGTCAGTAAGCGATGTTCCTAGGTCATATCAACAGGAACTTTGTATTCTTACCATGAAACTCCGTTATCTTGTCATATAAGAGTAAGATTTATTATAAGAATTTAAATCACTTTTATTGGCGAAAATTAAAAGTGATGTTTGTAAATACTGTAGATATTGTCATACTTGTTGAATGGTAGGAAAACCAAATCAGAAGATACATAAAAAGCTCATCTGCAACCTATTCCTGCATAAGAGCCATTTCGCAGAATAAAGATTTTGTTGGCCCATTCCTTAAGACCAAGTTAGGAAACCAATACTTGTTGATGATTATATGTGCATCTGCAAGATTTTTCAGACACTTTTCGTTTGAAGACCGTAAAACTACGACCATAGTAAAAACTTTGATAAAGTTGTTCACATTTTATGACCTTCCCAAATCTGTCCAATCCGTTCAAGGGTCAGATTTTATCTCTGGAGTTTTACAGCATGCTATATACATACCAGGTATCCAACAGTTTAAATCTTCTACCTATCATCCTGTGAGTCAATGTGCTTTGGAAAGACCTTTCTTAGACACAAGAAAAGATTGGGTGTTCATTTGTTTTTTTGCTGTTAGGGAATTGGTTCAAGAGTCTTTAGGTTTAAGTCCTTTGGAGTTTGTTTTTCGACATACTGTCCGTGGATCATTGGAGTTATTACAAGAGAAACATTTTTCAATTGAAAAATCAGAAATTAATCATCTTGAATGTTTATCATATTTCAAATACAGATTGTCAAAAGCTTATGAAATAGCAAGAAACTTATCTTCAGTCTGTTCAGTTGAGAATGAAATATAAAGGATACAAGTTTCATCCAGGTGATAATGTTTTGGCTCTATTACCCATACCTCTTCAGGCTAAGTATTTTGGTCCTGATACCATTGAAAAGAAAGTAAGTGGCTTAAATTACATAATAAACAAATACTAATAGAAGAAAACAAAGAACTTTTGTAACATAAATATCTTAAAGGGGTATGGTTGACCTGTAAGTTATTCAACAAGTATGTGAAATCAGACTCATAACTTTGCTGTGACCAATCTTTGCAATTCGGAAATACTGGACAATCTGGACCAGAAACGTTCGTATCTGTTGCCATCAGAGAAGACAGTATTAAAACAGCTACTATGAGAATATGAACACTTGTTTCCAGATATTCCAACATGAACAAATAAAATCTACCATGACGTTGAAATTGTAGATAATACACATGTGAAACAAAATCTTTACAGGATGAATCCTCTTCGGTTTGAAGAAGGAAGTTCAATATTTGTTAGAAAATGGCTTCATCAAAAATAGTAAAAGTAGTTGGAGTTCACCATGTATTTTAGTACTGAAACCAGATAATACTTTCTGTATGTGTACCGAATACAAAAGAATAAAGTGCCACCGAGAGAGTTTCATTTCCAATACCTAAAACCGATGACTGCATTGAGAGAATTGGAAATGCAAAATATGTCAGCAAATTTGACCTTGTGAAGGGATTCTGGCAAATTCCTCATACAAAAAAGCAAAGGCAAATTCCTCATACAAAAAAGCAAAGGCAAATTCCTCATACAAAAAAGCAAAGGAAATTTCAGCATTGTTGAAAGATTGGTATTTCATCTGGTCTTTCAACAGTTTTTTCAATTTTGCAGGGTTTCTGTAATATTAGACAGGGTAGTAAATCTCTTTAAACACAACATATGCATCTAAGATAAATTTGGTTTTTTCCTTCTGTCCATCAGCTTTTGCAACTCTTCTACTTTAGTAGCACTATCAGTACCACTCCAATCCACAACTGTTAAGTTACTATTTGTAACCTACTTGTTTTCACAGCTTTCAAATTGTTATAAGCAAAATTCAGTAGATATTTATATTCATCTCGACTTGTGATTCATAATTGCATTTGTTTATATACATTATGTAATTATGGCTCAAACTAATACTGTGAATTTGTGTTTCAAGCACTCAACATCAATATATTCTTCAAAGCCACTATTAGCATTAATTCCATTTTTGACTTTGTATATATTATTGGCCATAAAAACCATCAAGAATTAAATGTTTGTTTTTATTTGTTTCCTAATGTATTATTACACACTTTTATTTCACTGGAAATGTGACAGACATGAACAAAACTTATTCATTGTAGTGAAATTGAAAATGACACTTACATCCTCAATTATCATTAATATCTGTTGCTTTTCTGCAATAATATAATCTTATATTGATGCTTTTGTAAATTAAAACAGCATTCAAGCAATCCTCAGATTCAGATTTTCTATTAAATTTGTTGCCTCAATTATTATATAGATTTCCGGTTTATTAAAAGCTTGTCCCAATTCTTTTCTTTAAATTTCTTTCCAGACTCTAACACATTATCTTTTAATTCATTGATTTCTTTCTTGGTTACATTTTTCTGATTGCATATTTTGTATCTCCTTGTGTTTTTTATACTCTATGAAATCCAATTCCTTATCATTGATTTCCTCATAGCATACTGCTGTTCTAACCATGTCATTGATGCTGTATTTATAACCTACTTATGGCAGGTTACTAACTGTTATTTAAAACTTACTTATTAGCTTTTCCTTAAAAAAGGACCTAATGTTGACTGTCAGCAGAAAGCATTCATTGAAAATGTTATGAAGGTATGAAATGCAGTTACTGTTTGGAAGAGTGATTCAATGACAGGTGATCAAGAATAATGTATGTTCAGCTGAATAAACTGATTTTAATGAAGGCAATTGGTGTAGAAATGGCATTTTGTCCAAGCATTGAGCTAGTGAATGGCTGTAGGTGATGATGGGTGCATGTCACAGGAATTGAAGAGCTGAGAAATCCATTCTGGGGATATTGTTGACAATAAGCTAGGATGCTTGTATTATGCACAAAGTTATAATTGGCAATTTACTGCATAATGTTAAAATATGTGTATTTTGGAAAATTATATATATCTTTATTTTAAAAAATTTAATCTCAATCGGAAATACAGGTGTATTCAGACTTCATAAAGAAATGAGACTGACATTGGTGAAGAACCCTTTATTTAAATCTTAAAATACAAATGTATATTCTTTAATGACTATGAAACAAATTATGAGTTTGGCATACATACAAAAATATGTAAAATTAAGTCAGAGACATTCATTTTAAATTTTTGATTGGCCCTTGTGATGTCCTGTTTCTGCATCACACATGACTTCACTTTCATTTTATCAACAAGCTTCATTATATGATAGTGCAAAGTGCAAGCATTACGACCAATTTCTGCATTTGCAGAATAAATTACTTTAGTTGCAGACTATGTATCCATAGCAAATAAACTGCATACTTTCCACAAGTATATTTGATAAATTTTAAATTTATACACATACATGTACTCTAAAATGATCTTTAGTTACGATGCAAAAAAATCTTAGGCAAGATTGAAAATGTATGTCTTAAATCACCAAAATGTCATCAAAGATGATCTTGAGATGTAATGAAAGATTACACTATCCATTCAGATTGAATGTAGCATTTCTCTATACAGTACATCCTTGTAATAGCTAAGCCAGTACTTAAAGACTGTATTATGTTTCAGAACCAACCAAAATAAAAGTAATGCATTTAATCTTCTGGTCACAAGGAAGGTGCAAAATCACATGAGGAAGCAGTTTGTCATAATTCAGTAGTAGTTGATCAGCAGCATACAGACTTCAGATACTTGTAGTTTAATAACAGGCATGTCTCTAGTCCATGGTGTGTTACAAGAGTTAATGCTCTCTCTACACAAATTATAGTTAGCACCAAGTTAGCTGAACCATTCATTAAAAGTTGAACAGTTCATGTTTGACAAACGCATCCAATGCTATGTTCACCGAATAGATAGGTATCCTCCTTTTAACTTGGTACAAAAATGCACTTAAAATAACTCACAGGCACAATGGTTGTATTGCAAGAACTTTAACATACTAAATGAATTTGAAGACTATATAATTTAATGTATGTAAAACAAACATTTTGCATAAAAAAGTTGAAAATATAGTTGCATAGAAAATGTAAACCTTAATGGCATTTTCCTTAAATAATAATCCTTAAATTTTATAATAAAATATTTGCAATATAAACATCATTAACAACATCAGCATCTTTCAAATATAATCTCTAAAATTGCATATATATATATTTTATAAAAGTCATATAGACAGATTTTTGTCCTGTTTTTAAAACTGTACAATACAATCAAAACTTACCAAAAAGTTAATAGTTTCTACAGGACAAATGTCACAGATCACTGATACTCGATAATACAAAGCAAAAAAGTGAAAAAAATACATTTCTCAACATTTATATTTATTTTCTACTTTTGATACATAATACAATGAAGCCTACTCATGCAGAGATGTGTGTATGTGTTTGATTTAGACTTTTAATGTAGCTTTAAAAATTTTTCAGTCATATGCTACAATATCTATCACTGGGCATCATACCACAGACATGTAGCATGATGTCCCATCCAGACACATTATCCTGACACAAAGCCAACCAGTCCTAAAACTAACCTCTTAATTCTGAGCATCAAGAGAGGCAGCTATTAGTATAATTTTAAAAATCTTTGTTATAACTCTGTACGGATTGAACCCACAATCTCCTGCATCCAAAGCAGATGCTCAAACCACTAGGCCACTAAGTGTCCAAGATTTGTCTTTGCATGTACAGTCTTTTTTTCTTTCTGAGACTCAAAAATTGTTTTGTGGTACCAGATGGGGCCAGTGCAAGTGATCCCCAAAAATGCAACATGGTCCAATTGAGAATAAGATATCTTTTCATATAAGTCTATGGAAAATGATTGGAAATTAAAATGTAAATAAAAGAAAATAACTTCTGTTTTATTTAAAGCATTTTGTAAACTTGCAAAGGATAAATAGTTGGTAGACTCTGCACTGTCAAATATCATCACCATAAGCATATGTGCAAATATTTACATGACAAATCACATTGATATTAAATACAAACATAGAGCAAGTTTCTGTTTTAAAGTCCATTTGAGAGCAAAATATAAGATACAGATTTTTCTTCTAGTCTGAAGATAATGCAAGTGTCATTTGTGTTCATCTCTGCACTCATCTGAGACCAGAAGGTACTGTTCAAACTTCCCTGCAGAATTCTTTGAGTAAATCATAGAACCAATATATTTTTGCCAACAATAGTGTTAGCATTGCCAGAACTGTATTCCATGCAGTTTGACCATGAGATATGCAAATCTTTGCAGAGAAAAAGAATATACATTACATTTTGGGCTGATCATTTCATCTGGGGTGGGGGCATAGTATTTTCAAACTTAATGAGGGTCTTACAGTAATAAATGCCTCTGTCCAAAATGGGTGTTAATGCTTTATCAGTACAAATCAACTATGTAAACATGAAGTGTGCTTATCATTGTTCCGAATCAATCTATTTTATGATAAATCATTCGGAAAAGAATTGGATCAATTAATAGTTCACATTTTAAATGAATTAATAAAAATGAAAATATTGAAATTTAATTGGAATGTTCAATTCTGTATGACAAGCATGTTTTGTCTTGTCTCCAGGTTACCTATAGGTGGTGCTGCTATTTCAAAGGGTGACATACATCCCAGAATGACCTACCTTGATATTTTGTTTGCAGTATGTGCAAAGAATGAAATCCCTCCCCCTCCCCCCTCTGATGTCTTTTCCAAAATCAAAATCCATAAACTGGGAATTCTAAAATTTAGTTTTACTGGGCTTTGCTTACTTTGTTGATAACTGGGCTTTGCTTACTTTGCTAATAACTGATTGTTTCCTGACTACAAATGCAGTTTTACATTTTTTCTTCACATTTGAACACTATTCTGACAACTGAAATAGTCATGCTTTGCATTTTATATATGGAGAAAAATCTGAGTTCAAAGAGATGTTGCTGCTCTTGACAAACTTCTCAACAATCAACATGGCTGTTTTTCAACTGTTCAACACACATCTCTTTGAAATTTAAAACAAACTGGGATGTTCCACTTAGTAATTTTTATCATTTATGCATGTTTTATGCTACAAGCGTATACAGGGATGTATTTTTCTCTCCAAAGATTACAGAAAATTCTTGGGTTCATTAGAAAAACAATGTTTTTAGTATGACACATCATGTCATGACAGACATGCTTTAACACTTGTATAGAAATGTCAGGATCTAGTGTCTTCCATCTATCCTTCCAGCTGAAACAATGACTCTACTCCTCACATCCACCAGGTTTTCAGGTAAAACAATTCCATGTTGTTGCAATGAAAGTTATGCCAAACTCTGGCATACAAAAAAGCTGTTAAAACTGCCTGGCACATGTTTATTCAGTTTTCAATTTAACAATACGCAAGATGATCTAACTGAATTATGTCCCACCCAGTCATCCTGACACCAGGCTAACCAGTCATAACACTAATTTCTTGTGCCTAGCAAGGCAGCTGTTAGTACCATTTTTATAAGTCTTTGGTATAACTTGGCTGGGTTGTGAACCCTGGACCTCTCAGATCCAAAGTGGATGCTCTAACCACTAGGCTAGCTAGTGATGTTGAATTAAAATTATTTATGCTCATATCCAGCTTGATAACTTTACAAGCACAATTTTCAAGAAACTCAATTAAACTTGAAATGTGCAAATGACAACACAAGAATTGTTGTGGTGGAGAAACATGAAAAGCATTTATATTGAACATTAAATATATATCACCATTACCTAATTTTATTATTATTATTATTACTTTATTTAAAGGGGCCCAGAGTGGCAGTGGTCTGAAGCGCTATCTGTTATGGATCACTGCCATCTCACTTCTGCGTGGGTTCGAGTCTAGGACGACCAATGAGGATATGTGAGAAAGCTTGCCAGTAGGTTCTTGAGGGTCGGTGGTTCTTTCCAGCAATTTCCCGGTTTCTTCCTTCACCATTAATACTGGCCGCCATGAATAGCCTATCGTGTGCTGAAAAAAATGGCGTTAAGCACAACAACAACTTTATTTAAAGAGGGTAACTCAATTAGTTAAGAACTAATCTACCTTGAGGCCCTCATTTAAAGGAATTTACTTATTTTGTTTGCTGCATCTCTGAAGTCACTGTATATACTGGGTTTGAAAAAGGAAATAGAGTGGGCATTTCTAATCTCAACTGGAATACTATTCCAGAGCAAAGTTCCAGAAAATAGGAAACTTTTTTTTAAATAATTATTTGGTTTGGGAATTTTGTAATGTTTGGTAGACATTGATCGCTGGTGGAGAGTATTCTGGGTAGCCTATACTTGAATAGTGATTGTAAATATTCAGGAGCACTATTACTGGCTATCCTGTACATTAATTTGGCTTTTTCTTAAAAATATTACCTATTATTAAAGACTGAATCAGTTTAACTTACCAGCTAAATATTTTGTGCTTTTTTTTTCTGGATTAATATTAACTCAAAAGCTCTTTTTTGGAGATGTGCCAGCTTTGCTAAGCTTTAATCATTTGAATTATCCCATACTGTATTACAGTAGTCTAAGTAGGGTTGTATGTAACTGTTATAAAATAGCTTTCTGTGCTTTTCTGGGAGAAAGTGTCTTATCCTACTGAGAAGCCATAAACTTGAATTGACTTTTTTTTACTGATCTGTTTTATAAGTTCAGTCCATGATAATCTATTTGGTGTTTTGGTAGATAATAACCTATCATGACAGACCACTAGAACCTTTTATCCTTCCATGTTAGATATAATTCATTACTATCAAGTTTTACTCTTTGGTTCCATGTTGAGATAAGTAATCTTCGAGTTTTACCTTTTTGATGTTCTAATTTTAGTATAATTACCATGACCCAATTTTGCAGTAGTACTTTTCATATGCATGAAAATATATAACTATATAAACAACAATGCACTCAAAAATGACATTAAAAAAATGTAATCACCAATTACAAAGTTCATCTCAAAGAAGTTTTTAGTACATGTAGTCTCCTGCAGCTATTACACAATATGTTAGCCGCTTTGACAGCATAAAAAGAAAACAAAAATAACAATACCAGAGGTATTATGAGTTGATAAAAACTAAATAGTATTTTTTAAAAACTTTCTTTCTTTTTCTAATTATTGTTGATAAATTTATTTTCTGAAGCTATTATTGTCCTGCTCTAGAGGTTAGATTTTACAGGGAGGAAATCACAAGCTTTTAGCAACATTGGAGTAACACCCAGTATGACCACTGTTATAAGCACAGTTCATGCATCATTAATCACCTGTTTTGTTCACTGCAGCTGATAGAATTTAGGATTTACATGAAATACAGTTAATCTGTTGAAACTAACCATCACAATATGCAATGCCATCATAATTATGGGAACTTTACCAGTGAAATATATGGCTCCATTGCACTGGTCATGAGATTAACACAAATACTTGCTATGTTAGTAAAGCATAAAATGTAGGTCACAATGCCCTTCTTTGATTGTATTTGTTTAGTATCACAAAAAGGTAAATTTAATTATCAAATTTCATTCCTCTAACATAAAAACTACCCAAGTAATGAACATTAAACACATAATTTCTACAATGTCATTAGTGCATGAAATGCAGGTCACAGAGACCTATTAGCAATAATTGTAACACTTTTCAAACTGCATCCCCTCCCCAAGTTTCATGATTCTATATAGAAAATTATACAAGAAGCATGCATAGTTCCTATGTGATTATCACAAGCTAAACACAACATTTAACTAAATTCAGTAAAGGTAAACTAGGTCACAGTGACCTCTTATTTGAAAGGAATGTACTAAAAGGGATGCATGTGATCATAAAGTTTGAAAAGTCTAGCATGAACAATGCATGAGAAATGAATTAATCATGACAGTATTATATAGCATGCAATTATCTATGTGGGAATGAGCTAATTGCAAAACATCAACTTAAGTCAAATGTTGATCATAGTTCCCTTCCTCTATTGTAAGGGGTATAGTACTAACAGATAAATATACAATCATCCAGTATAATGAATTTAGCATCAACAGTAATTGAGATAATAACTATATCACTCACAGTGGAGTAAAAGTAACTCCACAAACGACCCACATATCCATCAGGATTTAGGCAGGGCTATAGTATGTGATGCACAGTCATAAAATATGTTTTGATAAAGTTTCCTTATTTGATTATAGTACCTTTTGTGGTTCAAAAGTTGTACCCTGAACAAGAACACAAGTCACAGAATTGCATTCTCCCTAGCCAAGACCTTGATACAGATGGCCTGGCTATGGCAGGCAAGAAACTGTCTAATAATAAAATATATCTGAGCAAAGTTTCATGAAACTCTCAACCATTACATTGTTATGGACTGGACAGACAAATATTTAATGGGGAAACTTATGTATAATGTCATCACATTCTATGCTAAACTTCAAAAATAAAATACATTGTCAATGAAGAATGAAATTAGGTCAGTTACCTACTTTTGGTAATGTAAAACACCTCATAAAGCATATCTTTTTAGCTGATTTTACAATGATGTGCACCTGAAAAAGACATAGATAACAAGTGTACCTGATTACTAGAGCATACAAAATAGGCTACAGCATCCTACATTTGGTATGATGTGTAGTACTCCTATAGATATATGCAAATATATAGTTTCATGAATTTGTAAGCAAATATTGTCTG